CAGCCCCACCTTCCCCCAGCACTGTGGGCTCACCCCCATGGCAGCAAAGACGATGGCAAAGTTCTCCTCACTGTAATCCATCACATCTTTGGATTTCTTCACCAAGCCAGCCTGGCGACAGATCTGAGCAGCAATCTAGGCACGAAATATTCCAGGGCTTGCACCTGATGCTGTCCCACAGCCCAGAATTAAATTTATTTTGGCTCCCACCAGGTTTAGAACAGCTCTGAGGCCTCACCTCGTTGTGGGGCAGCCCAGCAGCTGAGAAAATGGGGATTTTCTGGCCCCTGGCAATACTGTTCATGCCATCTATGGCAGAAATCCCAGTCTGGATCATTTCCTCTGGATAGATCCGACACTGGGGGTTGATTGGTTGGCCTGTGGGATTTTTGGAGAGAATACAATGTTACTCCCTGGACACACTGGGAGCTCTATCAAACACCCTGATGAATGGGTACAAACCCCACTGTGACACCAACAGACCTTTAGCTGCACCTGGTCACACCTGAGTCCTTCAGAGCCCAAAGACTCTGCTGTTAAATGTTCATGTCAGTGGTAAGAATGATTTAAAACCCTGCCAGGTTATCAGCATTTCACCTTTAGGTGTTGTAGAATTAAGTCTACAAATAACAAAGAGCATCTTTCAAACACTGCAGAAAATTTTCTGCTCCCTCATCTCCCTGCACTTGGGTAGTTGAATTAGAATTTGGTGCCATACACATACTCAAAAATGAGATGAAGCTCCTCCCAAGTTAGATCTTGTGTTCTAATATATAATACATAGAGTTAGCCCTCGTGTTCAAATATATAAATCCAGGAAGCTGAAACACACCAGGTTTGACTTTACCCCCCCTCAGAAAAGGATTATAAACAAACCCATAATGTCCAGGAAATCCTCAGCCAAGACAATGGGGCCTCTGTCTATGGGTTTTCCTGATCCATTGAACACTCTGCCTATAGGAAACAGCAATAAAAATGAGAATTATTGTGAAAAGCAGTTAATTTTGGATAAATCTGTTCATTGCTCACATCCCCAGGTAAATCCTCACCAAGCATGTCCTCCGAGACCGGGGTTCGCAGGATGTCCCCAGTGAACTCACAGGAGGTTTTCTTGGCATCAATCCCTGAAGTGCCTTCAAATACCTGCAAATGCAGCAGGAAAAATAAAAATTAATCACAGGATAGGAGTTTTGTGCTCCACAAAGTAACTCCTGAATGCTGCTTCACCTGCAGCCCCAGGGCACAAAGCAGAAGCTGCTCTGGAAAGAGCTTCAAGAGCTGGTAGAAAACACCACAAAACCCTGCTTAAAAAAATAAAATAATGAATTCTATCAGCAACAACCACCAAACCTGGTGCAACGCCTTTGATCTCAAGTGTTTCCCCCTGCCAAGTCCTTCAGATGCAATAATGTGAACAAGAAACAGCTTTTTAGGAGAAACACCAGCACCCACTTAGCACAGGGCTGGAAAACATCTGGAAACCAACACTGCAAATTCCAGGGGATTCCTTTAATCCAGCAGCAAAGGAACCCAGTGGGGTGGAAGTACATCCAGGGGGGATGGAAATATATCTAGGGGGGATGGAAATACATCCAGGGAGGATGGAAATACATCCAGGGAGGATGGAAATACATCCAGGGAGGATGGAAATAAAAATGTCACTGTGCACTGTCAGAAATCTCCTAAAATGATCGATGCCACCTGCACTGGGAACAAGCAGGTGATTTGTTGTTCCCATTGAAAAGGAATACACCTCCAGACAGGTCTGATTTGGTTTGGGGCTCATCCTGATTAATCAGTGATGGGAAAAGAGCCTCCTGCTCCTACCTGAACCACAGCTTTGGAGCCACTGACTTCCAGCACCTGCCCACTCCTCCTGGTGCCGTCGGGCAGGGTCAGGTGCACGATCTCGGCGTACCTGGGGAACTGAGGGGGCAGAGGGAGGAGGGAAGGCATTAAACTCCAGCCAGCAAACAAAAATCACCACTCCCAGCCTGGAAACCACTCGGGTTTTGAGAATAATTTCATCATCAGAACCAAACTCCTGCCCAGGATATTGAATTACCCAGGTTAAAGCGATTTTTATGGGAATAAACAATATTTAGATGGTTGGAGCTGCCAGAATCAGTTCTAAAAACTGCAAATAGTAACAGAAAGCCCCAGTGCAGCCTCTGCACAAGAAGAAAAACCTGCAGCAGCTTTGCCCTTAAGAGCAGCCTGAAAAGAAGCCAGGAGTTTCCACAGCTTCCTTTTCCAGGGCACTGATGTGGAAACAGAAAGGTTGGGAACAAAGCAAACAGCTTCATTTCATCTTGGAACTGCATCAGCATCCCAGGGGTTTGGTAAAACTCAAACTCTGCTTCTTTTCCTGCCCCAAGAACTCTCCCTTCCCTCCTGCCTTAGAGGAACTTCCACACTCCCATTCATCCCAGCAGTCAGAAATGTACCAAAATAGCTCTGGGGAACTCCCCAGCAATCTGGATTTTACCTTTCCCAGCTTTTCCTGGCAACTCTCCCCCCAAAATCTCCATGAACAGCTGAGAATTTACCTTAACCTGGTCCAGGATAACCAGGGGCCCGTTCACACCCGACACGGTTTTGTAAGCTGCAAAAAACACAAGGCAAGAGTCAGGCACTTCCTCAGGAACTTCCAAAAATCCCATTTCATCCCTGCCCACATCCCATTTCCCATTCCATCCCTACCACCAGGCTCAGATTTGGGACCCCATTTCTGTTTATTAGGAACTCCACAAGGAGGATGAAGGACAGGATTGGGTGTCCTGCTCCCTGGAGGTGACACTTTTGTGATCCCAGTGTTTATTCTCCATGACAGGAATTCATGGAGCACTTTTCCTGCTCCTTGAGGTGATCCCAGTGTTTATTCTCCATGACAGGAATTCGTGGAGCACTTTTCCTGTTCCCTGCAGGTAACACTGACATGATCCCAGTGTTCATCTCCACGACAGGAATTCCCTGCTCAGGCTGCAGGGGGCTTGGAGCACTCTGGGACAGCAGAAGGTGTCCCCATGGCAGGGGTGGCACTGGGTGGGCTTTAGGCCCCTTCCAACACAAACCATTCCATGAGTCTGTGATTCCAAGGAAGGATTTTGCTGTCAGCTCAGGGAAAAAGCATCAGCTGAGCCCCAGAGAGGGAAATCCTGAGTCAGAGCCCCCTGAGGGTCACGAGGAGCAGCTGGGGCTGTTCCTCACCGCTCCCCAGGAAGGGAAATGGGACAGCGGGGCCATCCAGAGCCCAGCCAGGACCCCAAACCCAGCAGGATTTGGGATCCAGGCCCGGCAGCTCCGCATTGACACTGCAATAAAACAGCTGGGACTGCTGCAAAGTCAGCCCTGACCGGCTGTGACCAAACTGCTCTGGCTCAGGGGAGCCGGGCTTAAACCCCTGAGCTGAGCTTCAGCCCTGAGCTGAGCTTCACCCCTGAGCTGAGCTTCACCCCTGCAGCCCTCCTGAGCAGCCGAGACAGAGCCTGGCCCAATCCCAGCTGGGCCTGAGCAGGGAGAGGCACCGGGATCAGCCGGGAGGAGGAAACAGCTCAGGGCACCAGGGGTGGGACTGGGAACAGGATTGGGAACAGGATTGGGACTGGGAATGGGGACAGGCACATAGGGAATGGGATTGGGAACAGATTAGGAATGGGAACTGGGAATGGGAAACAGGATTGGGAATGGGCAATGGGAAACAGGATTGGGAATGGGCAATGGGAATGGGGAATGAGAACTGGACAGAGGGAATAGGACTGGGGAATGGGAACGAGAAATGGGATTAGGAACAGGACATAGGGAATGGGATTGGGAACTGGAACAGGGAATGGGACTAGGAACCAGGATATAGGGAATGGGAACGGGATTGGAAATGGCATTGGGAATGACAACAGGGAATAGGACTGGAAACTAGGAATGGGAACTGGGATATAGGGAATGGGAACGGGACACAGGAAATGGGATTGGTAACAGGGAGTGGTTTTGGGATATAGGGAATAGGAACAGGGAATGGGGCAATGCGAATCGGGAATGAGGGGATTGGGAACAGGGAATGGGGCTGGGATAACTGGGAATGTGGCAATGGGAATCAGGAATGGGACTGGCAACAGGGAATGGGAGTGAGAATGGGATCTAGGGGATGGGAACAGGAAATGGGATTGGGATAATCAGGAAAGAGACCAGGATATAGGGGATGGAAAAGCTGACCCTGAGTGAGGCATTTCACCCCGTGACTGTCTCATGAGCTCTCCTTCCTCAATCAGCCTCTCGGGCAGCTCCACGGCAAACCAAAAGCAGCCCGGAGCACTTCCCACCCCCATTCAGGGGAAATCCAGAATCTCCATGGAAAACCCTGGAGTCACCTTGGCCCCAACCCCGCCAGAAGCCTCGGCTCCAGGGCAAAGGCTGGAACTGCAGTGAGGGGTTTGGCTTCCAAGCCTGACGGTATTTCCAAAGGCTCCGTGACCCAGGGCAGCCCCTGCAGGTCCCGCTGCTATTCAGGGCACAGCTAAAGCCATTTTACGTAATTCCAGCCAGAAAAACACCTCCACGCTCTCGGATTTCTCCCCACTGCGCTGCCATAAAGGGGTTTCACCAATAGCCCGCATTTCCCCTTTTCCACGCGATTTCTCAATTTCTGTTAAACACAGACTCCATCCCACCCCCACCACTCCCAGCTCCCGGAACAAACCCCGGCTTTTCGGAACGACACGGGACGGGCCGTGTTCCCAGCTGCCCGGGTTAATTACGGTATTAATTACAGCCTGAGCCCGGGCTGCTCTGAGGGGGTGGCTGATGCGGCGCTGCGGCCTGCCCGGAGCTGCGGCCCCCGAGGCGGGCGGATCCCCCCTCCCGCAGCCCTCCGGGTTCCCCCGCACGGCCCGCACTCACTGAGGCGCGGCTGGGACAGGAAGTCGCGGGTCAGGGCCGCCGCCTGCTCGCGGGGCCCGCCGGGCCCGGCGCCGTTCACGGCCCCGCGCAGCGCCCGCACCGCCGCCATGTTGGACCGGCTGCTGAGGGGGCGGCCGCGCATGCGCTGTTATAGCGGGGAGAGGGACACGCCCAGTGGCGCACGGGACACGCCCATTCGCGCATGGGACACGCCCACCGGCGGGGAGGGGCGGGGCCGGAGCTGTCCCAGGTCCTGAAAGGGGAAAGGAAAAGGGAAAAGGAAAAGGAAAAGGAAAATGAAAAGGGAGGAGGGAAGAGGAAGAGGAAAAGGAAGATGAAAAGGAAGAGGAACAGAGAAGAGGAAGATGAATGGGGAAGAGGAAGAGGAAGAGGAAGAGGAAGAGGAAGAGGAAGAGGAAGAGGAAATAAAGGGGTTAATGGATAAGAATAAAAAACTGAAAAGTCAAAAGGGGAAAGGTTGGAGAAAGAAAGGGAAGAAAAAAGAGAAACAGGAAAACAAGGAAAAGGAAAGAAGAAAAAAACCCCATTAAAATAATAAGAGACAGAAAAATAGCAAAAAAAAAAAAAAAGCAAAAGGAAGGAAAAGGGAAGTAAAGCGAGAAAGACAGAGCAGTAAGACAGAAGGGATTGGGGTTTTAAATCAATCATCCCCCTCCTGCTGGATCAGAACTGGAAATATTTGGGAAAAACGTCTGCAAAGAGATCTGGGAGATTCTGCCTGGGGCAGCGAGGAGGCGGAGGGGAAGGAAACCTCCCGAGGAGGCAGCAAACAGAACAGCTAACTGCACAGAAAGGGTCAAACTAAGAAAAAGAGGAGCAGAAAAGGAGAAAAGGGGGGAGGCGAAGGAGAATGGGGAGCGCTCCCGGCGCGGCAGCCCCGCGCTCCCGCAGCAGATGGAGCTGCTGCCCCGCTCCTGCCGCGCCTCGGCTCCCGACGGCCAACCCCAGCCCCGGCCGCGCCGCTCTCCGCTCCTCAAATCCATTTAAAGGCTTGAAAGTCCCGCTCTAATGCTCGCCCAGGGGATTCCCGGCAGGATGTTCTCGTCTGCCATGGTTTGGGGCCAGGTTTGGCAGACGAATGGCACCGGCGGCACATTTATGTGTCAGATTTATGTGGGAATGTATTTAGGATTTATTCCCTCTCCCTGCAGTAAATCTCCGTGTCCTGGATGAAGGATGGAGTCGGTTTGGGATTTGAAAGGGAAATCACGGAGCCAAGTGTCAGAGGTTTAGGAAAACAGGAATGATGGAAGGGGTCCGGATCTGCCGGGAGAGAGAGAGACAGCATCCCGGGGACAGCCCCGGGGCAGCGGGGACCGAAACCTGCTGGGGACAACACCCCAGAGCTCCGGAATCCCGAGACAGGTGCCCCGATCCAGGCTGGAACGCCTGGTGCTCCAAAATCCCGGGAATCCCGGGCCGGGTGCCCCGATTCAGGAAGGAATTTTGGTGCTCGGGAATCCCGGGCCATGTGCCCCATCCCGGCAGGATTCCTGGTGCCCCATCCCGGCAGGGAACCCGGTGCCCCATCCCGGCAGGATTCCCGGTGCTCAGGTGCTGCGTCCCGGCGGGATTCCCGGTGCCCCATCCCGGCAGGGAACCCGGTGCCCCATCCCGGGGGATTCCCAGTGCTCCATCGCGGCAGGGATCCCGGTGCCCCATCCGGGGACATTCCCGGTGCCCCATCCCGGTGCATTCTCGGTGCCCCATCCCGGAACATTCCCGGTGCCCCATCCCGGGGGATACCCGGTGCCCGGTGCCGCATCCCGGGGCATTCCCGGTGCCCCATCCCAGGGGATTCCCAGTGCTCCATCCCGGCAGGGATCCCGGTGCCCCATCCCAGAAGATTCCCAGTGCTTCATCCCGGCAGGGATCCCGGTGCCCTATCCCGGGACATTCCCGGTGCCCCATCCCGGGACATTCCCGGTGCCCGGTGCCGCATCCCGGGGCATTCCCGGTGCCCCATCCCAGGGGATTCCCGGTGCCCCATCCCGGTGCACTCCCGGTGCCCCATCCCGGGACATTCCCGGTGCCCGGTGCCGCATCCCGGGGCATTCCCGGTGCCCAGCCCTGCCGCAGGATCTCTGATCTCCGTTCCTGCCCCCGGCCCAGCCCCTCTGACGCACGGGGAGCTCCCGGACAGCGGCGAGGCTCCGGTGCCACCCCGGGGCCGGGGCCACTCCTCTGTCTGCTCGCTGCTCCCGGGAGCCGCGAGCCCCGGGCGAGCAGAGCTCGGCAGCGGCTCCCGCTCCCACCGGGTGCCGGGGTAAGAACAATTCCCTCTTTCCTCCGCTCCACAGGGCAGGGAAAGGGACAGGGTTTGTCCTGGACAGGTTAAACTACGGGTCTGTATTGCCTCTGATCCCTCTGTCTTAGATTTATTTATAAATTTGTATATTTTATTTATTTTGATTTATATTTATTTTTATATGTGTATTTTCTATAATATATATTCTATTATATAATTCATAATCATTATTTATAATTAATACATAATCAATATATCTACGTTATCTATAATGTTTATTTATTTATGTATCTATAATATATAAAATATATTATATACATTATAATTAATAATAATTAATCTATAATCTATACATCCGTGTTATCTATATATTATAACAAATATAATAAATATATTACAATAAAATATATAAGTATAATAAAATACATTTATTGATCTAGAAAATATATAATCTAGAATATATAATGCATAATAATTCATAGTAATTAATGGTAATTAATCTATAATCATATATATTATCTACACTATCTGTCTATATATATTTATATATTTATTTATTTATCTGGGGACACACTGAGTGACCCCAGGAGTTGCCATCCTACGGGAGAAGCCCCGGCCCCGTGGGAGGTTTGACCTGGAATGTTCTCTTGGCAGGTTTGTGGAGGCCTCGACCCCTGAGCACAGGAGCCCGCAGGAGCCTGGCTGTGCCCTGGCCGTGTCCCCAGCCATGTCCCCAGCCGTGTCCCCAGCCGTGTCCCCTGCCGTGTCCCCTGCCGTGTCCCCAGGCGGGTCCCAGCCCTGGCTGGCCGCGGGCAGGGCCTCGCCCCGGCTGGTGCTGGCGGTGGTGTTCGTGGCGCTGCTGCTGGACAACGTCCTGCTCACCGTCGTGGGTACGCGGGGCTGCCGGGGGTCCCGGGGGGCCCTGGGGACCATGGGGGTCCTTGGGGGCTGTGGGGGTCTCTTGGGGGCACAGCGTGGGGTCCTCTGGGGCTGCCTGGGCATGGTGTGGGGTTCTTTGGGGCTGTCTCAGGGGTACATTGTGGGGTTTTTTGGGGGCACATTGTGGGGTCCTTTGGGGCTGTCTCATGGGCACAATATGGGATTCTTTGGGGCTGTCTCAGAGGTACAGCATGGGGTTCTTTGGGGCTGTCTGATTGATACATTGTGGGGTTCTTTTGGGGCTGTTTCATGGATACATTGTGGGGTTCTTTGGGGTTGTCTCATTGGCAAATTGTGGGGTTCTTTGGGGCTGTCTTAGGGATACAGTGTGGGATTCTTTGGGGTTATCTCAGAGGTACAGCATGGGGTTCTTTGGGGCTGTCTGATTGATACATTGTGGGGTTCTTTGGGGCTGTTTCATGGGTACATTGTGGGGTTCTTTGGGCTTGTCTTGTGGGAGCAATATGGGATTCTTTGGGGCTGTCTCAGAGGACAGTGTGTGGTTCTTTGGGGGAACATTGTGGGGTTCTTTGGGGCTGTCTAATAGGTATAGTGTGGGGTTCTTTGGGATTGTCTCATGGGTACAGTGTGAGGTGCTTTTGGGGCTGCTCACAGGACAGTGTGAGATTCTTTGGGGGCACATTGTGGGGCTCTTTGGGGGCACATTGTGGGGTTCTCTGGGGACACAGAGTGGGTTTCTTTGGGGCCCTGTCTCAGGGTACACTGTAGGGTTTTTGAGGCTGTCTCAGGGCAGTGTGAGGGTCTTTGGGGACACAGCGTGGGGCTCTTCAGGGCTGCCCTGGGTACCCTGCTCCATCGCTCCCTGGGCGATGCCAGCGGCTCCTGCCCAGGCGACCTTCCAGGACCCACCTGGCCAGCACCGCTCAGCTCAGCTCCGAGCCGAGCCAGGAACTGCAAGAAAATCCCTCAATCCCTCACTAATCCATTCCCCATTTTTTGCAGTCCCCATCGTCCCCACCTTCCTCTACACCACCGAGTACGAAGGTGCCAAGAGCTCCGCGAGCCCAGCCGTGCCCGAGCCAACTCCCGCAGCCCCGGGGGCTCCTCCCTTCTCCTCCGTGCTCTCCTATTTTGACAACACCACCGTGCCCGTTCGGGGCTTCAGCGGCGCCCTGGGGCCGCCCAACGGGACGGGGAGCAGCCCCCCCGGGGACCCCCCCAGCGCCCCCCCAGCCCCGGGCAGGGGCTGCCTGGAGGGAGGGGAGTTCCTGGCCCAGGAGAACACCCGGGTGGGGCTGCTCTTCGCCTCCAAGGCTCTGGTGCAGCTGCTGGTCAACCCCTGGGTGGGTGTGCTGACCAACAGGTAGGTCAGACCTGGGGTTCCTGCGATTCCATGGGTGAGAAATGACACCGGCTCTCAAAAACGTGAAAGGTTTATTAAAACCTTGTCAAAAATACAGCAGTAGACTGGATAGAGAAAATATTACAGGGAGCAGGGGATTTTTCCCACCATGTGCTAGTCCACACAGTGGAGCTTTTGCCTTTTAACCCTTTAACCCCTCCCAAAGTTCTGCCCAGTGGTGGAGGTCACTTCATTAAACATTGACCGGAGCTCAGTTGTTGCCATGGTAACGAGCCGACCCTCCCAAATATCCCAAACCCAGGCCACCCCATAATAACAGCTCAAGGGAGGTAAAACACAACTATAAATCTATAAAACTTCCCCTAACACATCCATGACATTTGCCCTTTAACTGTGAGAGCCAGCCACGGCGTTGCTCATCTGTCACTCACGATTCCTTGGCTCCTTCCTGCTGCTGGAACCACCAGGAGCTGAGGAATCTCCTGCAGCTGCAGGGATTGCCGGGAGGGAAACATCAAGAGGTAAAATACATCCATCCAAAAGGCAGCACTGACACCTTTTCTAGCAGCCTGCACGTGCCTGGTGGGTTTATGTCCCAGCATAAAGCTCACTGATGCTCTCCTCAGGTGCTGGCAGATGCTATTTGATACCAGCAAGCAGGGGATAAACAAACACAGCCTCCCAGCCCGCTGTGGATGGATAAAATGTTATTTTCAGGTTTTCTTTCCCTCCTGCAGACGCTGAGCCGGGCTGGGCTGGGCACGGGGGCTGGGCAGTAGAGCTGTGGCCCTGGGGGGTTTTGCAGAGTTATTGGGGGGCACTGGGGTCCCTCTGAGCAGCACTTGTGGGGACAGCCCCCCCTTAGGAGCTGCTTCCCAGCCCACAGACATTCCCCAGGGGAATATGAGGAGCCCTCCTGAGCTGGGGCCTCTTTTTTCCTGTTCCAGGATCGGGTACCACATCCCCATGTTCCTGGGCTTCACCATCATGTTCCTCTCCACAGTCAGTGAGTACCCTCCCCATCACCTGCTCCGTGTCAGAAAGGACAGAGCAGAGCCCCCAGGCCCAGGAAAGGGTGACAAGGACGATCTCTCTGCCCTCTCACCCCTTCCAGAGGCAGCTGGGGCCAGCCTTGCCCAGTGGCGCAGGTCTGAGCCCAGCCCTGCCCTCCCTCTGCAGTGTTTGCTTTCTCGGGCACCTACACCCTGCTGCTCACCGCCAGAGCCCTGCAGGGCGTCGGCTCCTCCTTCTCATCGGTGGCAGGTGAAGGTTCTGCCTACACCTCAGTCCCTGCATCAGCTCCCCCTGGCTGGGTTCTCCTCCTCCTCCTCCTGCCAGGGAGCAGCTGGACCCCCAAAATGGCAGAGAGGAGCCGCCAGGCACCCAGCCAGGCTGAGGTGGGCTCTGTGTGTGCCCCCAGGCCTGGGGCTGCTGGCCAGCGTGTACCCGGACGACTCGGAGAGGGGCAGCGCCATGGGCATCGCCCTGGGAGGCCTGGCCTTGGGAGTGCTGAGTACGGAGCCCCTGTCCCCAAGGGGACACGGCCACAGCGTCACCTGGTCCTGCAATGCCACCTTCCACCTTCCACAGCATCACCTGGTCCTGCAATGGCGCCTTCCACGGGCTGGGTGCTCCCCTCCCTCCCGCGTCCCCTCCCTCCCCTGTCCCCTCCCTGACACTGCCTGTGGGACTGACACCTCCCTGAACACCCAGCAGGGACTCAGAGCAGCCCCAGGCTCTGGGGACAGTGGCACCTCCAGGCTCTGGGGACAGTGGCACTGCCAGGCTCTGGGCACGGTGGCACCGCCAGGGTGTGACCCAGCCTTTCCCTTGCAGTCGGGGCACCCTTTGGGAGCATCATGTACGAATTCGTGGGGAAGGCATCGCCCTTCCTCGTCCTGGCCTTCCTCGCCCTCCTGGATGGAGGTGAGAAACCAAAGGGTTGAACCCTAGAAATAAAGGAAATTATTGGAATGTGGATGTGGGGAGGAAGAGGCACATCAACACAGGTGGGTGACACCACCAGCACTGGTTATTCCATCATCATCATCATCATTTAATGAATATTAAATCCTGTTTTTGCCATCTCCAGATGACTGACACAGCAGCAGAGCAGGAACAAATCCCTCATTATTTAATAACCCCCCTGACTGCTTTGACGGCTCCAGCAGCCCATTCAGTAAAGCTCTTTGAACTGTGAATTCTCTGGCAAGGCACCCTTGTCTGCAGCCTCCTGGTGCCATGAAGGAGCCAGGCTTTGCCAGCAGACGTGGCACCTCGCTCTTGCTCCCGCGCAGAGGCCACGGGAGCTTCCCGAGTGCCACAGCAAAGTCCCAGCCAGCAGGAGCTGCATTTGCAGTGGGAAGCACAGAACTAATTAAATTACAGCCCCAGTTACCGTCCTCGTCTGGCTGTAAAGCAAGATATCCCTAATGAAGCGTGTGAGAGCCGCGGGAAATGAAACACGGGCCTCGTGCCTATCAAACTTCCTGCTTTAACCCTTTTCTTCTCCTCATCCCATTCCTGTCACGCTCCAGCTCCCCAGCTGGCAGCCTGATGGGAGCATTCAGGGATTGATAAAACCCTTCCAAACCTCTCCAGGTGGTTTTGGGGCTCCCTCCCTCCTGCCCTGCCCGCTCTGATCAGGCAGGTCCCCAAACAGCTCCTGCAGGCTGGGGTTGTGCTCTGGGCTGGGTGGGGCAGAGAGGAAGGACAGGGGGATGGATGGATGGATTGGAAGGAAGGAAGGAGTGGTGCCTGCAGGAAGGAGCCCCCAGCCGTGTTCTGTCCCCAGCTCTGCAGCTGTGCATCCTGCAGCCCTCGCGGATCTCCCCGGAGGTGAGCACGGCGCTGGCTGGGGGAGGTGGGCACTGCCCGGGGCTGGGGCTGTGCCAGGGCCAGCTGAGGGCACAGCCCCCAGCCCACGTCACCCCCTCTGCAGAGCACCAAAGCCACCCCTGTGTCCACCCTGCTGCGAGACCCCTACATCCTGGTGGCTGCAGGTAAAGGTGGAGCTTTAAATTTGTTCCCCTTGTTAAAGATTTCCTCGTGCCTGCTTGAAACAGCAACAAAAAGGGGCTAAACCTGAGCTTTTCTTCCTTTTCTCCCTTTTCCAGGAGCCCTCTGCTTCTCCAACATGGGGGTGGCCATGCTGGAGCCCACGCTGCCCATCTGGATGCTGCAGACCATGTGCTCCCCGCAGTGGCAGCTCGGTAGGTCCCCTGCTCTGCAGCCTCTTCCCCTGAGCTCCAGAGAGCTCAGAACCCCAGAAAAACCCCCAGGAGCCATCGGGTCCAGCCTGTGACTGATCCCAGCCCTGAGCTCTGAGTGCCACGTCCTTGGACACTTCCAGGGACCAAGATCTGGCCCTGCCTGGGCACTGCAGGAGGGGTTGAATCATCTTTTATATCTCTCCAACAAAAGAGAAGGAAACATCTGCCCTGCTGCCCATGCAGCGAGCAATCCCAGGCTGGGCACGGCTCCAATTCCAGCTGGAAATGTCCTCAGTGGTGGCTGCTCTGCTCTGTTATTGAAAAATTGTGTGGGATGTGCTGCCCAGCAGAGCAATAACGGGGCAGGGAGCCCATCTTGTGCAGGGCAGAGAATGGGCTCGTGCTGGGCTGGGACTGGGGAGGCCAGATGGGCTCTGCAGAGCGAGCTGAGGCCGTGCCCAGCACCCCAGGCAGGGCAGGACGGGCTCTGCTGATTGCCAGCTGCCCGGAAAATGGGATGTGGAGATAACAGCGCCTGTGCTCGCTGCAGAAACGACCAGAAATGGTGATAAAACCCAAGCGGAGCAGGAATCACCCCAGGGGTGCCCCGGGCTGCACTTAGATCCCAAATTGGATTGCAGGCTGCGAGCAGGGGGCTGGAATTGCTCCTGATTGAGTTATCCTCAGCGACAGCAGGCGCTGAAAGCTTCTCTGGAGAGAGGAAGGGTGAGGGGAAAGTGGCACCCAGGGATCCTGGCACTGGGAGAAGGGACAGAACCCAGAGAAAAAGCACTCAGGGCTCCCCTGTCACCATGGGAAATCACAGGCACCTGAACATCCTGGGGAATGTATTTGGGATTTTCTCAAAGTCACCTCAAAGTGATTTAACAGAAGAAAATCCCAATATGTTCCTTAAGATGTTCAGGTACCTGAGATTTGAGAGCAGTTTGGATTCAGAGTTCAACACCACCCCTCTCACGAGCTGTTCAAAACTCAGGGGGTTCTTTATTGGGTCTCTTTCACCCATAATTCTGGGAAAAATCACCCAGAAGAGCTCGGGGTAAACCTGCAGGATTAACCAGGCTGTGTACTGTTAGAGGAGAGGAAATGAAACACAAATCAGCGTGCTCCAATAAGGAAGCTGTCCAGGGAAATGGAGCTGGTCACTTTTATTTATTGTCAGCAGGAGAGGATATGAAAAATAAACAACTGGTAAAGCAGCAGGGAGAGCAAATATTTAATTGTGAGCTACATAATGATCCCTGAGCTTTTTACTTAAGCGGCTTTATTCCTCTTTATTTAGTGAGGGAAAAGGTGGAAAGGTGGAAGAGGGAGAAACTCTGGCAGGAGATGTTCACGTGCCTGGCCTAGCTCATTATATTCTCCAAATGAAGCCATTGGGGAGTGAAAATTTGTGCAAATCTCTGTTTTCTTGGGCACAAGACACTTTTAAATCCTTTCTGTCTCCCAGGGATGGCGTTCCTGCCTGCCAGCATCTCCTACCTCATTGGCACCAACCTCTTTGGGATTCTGGCCAACAGGATGGGCAGGTGAGTGGGATATTAAAGATTTGGGCTCAGCCCAGCCCAAATTTCAGCATGTTCTGCTGGAGGCTGAGAACTCCTGCCCTGTGCTCACATTGCAGGTGGCTGTGCTCCATGATTGGAATGGCTGTGGTGGGAATCAGCCTCCTCTGTGTGAGTAGCACGGGGGAATCCGAAGGAATCTGAGGTGGGATCCCCACAGGGGGAATCTGAGGTGGGATCCCCACAGAGGGAATCCAAAGGAATCCGAGGTGGGATCCCCACAGGGGGATCTGAGGTGGGATCCCCACAGAGGGAATCCGAAGGAATCCGAGGCGGGATCCCCACAGCCCTGCCCCACAGGGGAATCTGAGGTGGGATCCCCACAGCCCTGCCCCACAGGGGAATCTGAGGTGGGCTCCCCACAGCCCTGCACCACAGGGCAATCTGAGGTGGGATCCCCACAGAGGGAATCAGAAGGAATCTGAGGTGGGATCCCCACAGGGGGAATCTGAGGTGGGATCCCCACAGAGGGAATCAGAAGGAATCTGAGGCGGGATCCCCACAGCCCTGCCCCATAAGGGGATCTGAGGTGTCCCTGCAGGAGAATCTGCAGGGATTTTCACCGTCCTGCCACAGCAAATGCACAGGGCTCGCAGATCTCCAGATCTTCAGGCTAAGATTTGGGATTGTTCAGCCTGGGGAAGGCTGCGGGGTGACCTGTGGCTGTCCGGGACCTGAAGGGAGCCTGGATTCACAGGGGATGGAGGGACACGATGAGGGGAAATGGCTTCAAAGTGACACAGGGCAGGGTTAGGTGGGATATTGGGAAGAAATTCCTCCCTGTGAGGGGGGCAAGGGACTGGGATAGTGTTAGAGTTCTAAATACTAAATATTTTAAACTCTCTATACTAACAAACTCTAACTCCCAAGAGAACAGTACATTTAACCTAAAGCCATAAAAAACCCTTCCAAAATTCAGTAATAACACTAAAATTACACGTGTGTAGTTAAATAGAAGCATGTAATATCCCACAGGAGCTGTGGCTGCCCCTGGATCCCTGGCAGTGCCCAAGGCCAGGCTGGAACACCCTGGGAGAGTGGAAAGTGTCCCTGCCCATGGCAGGGCTGGGACAGAAAGATGTTTAAGCTCCCATCCCACAATTCCATGGCCTGTGTCCCACCTTCCCACCTCCCACAGCTCTCCTGACCTCACACCTCCTCTCTCTCCTCCCCAGGTCCCTCTGGCCACCAACATTTACGGGCTGATCGGCCCCAACGCCGGCCTGGGCTTTGCCATAGGTAAGCCGGGGGTGCTGCGGCTGCTCCGGGGCAGCTCCCCCGGGACAGGGGGACTGAGGAGCCCCTCACGCCCCGGGCAGGAATGGTGGACTCCTCCATGATGCCCATCATGGCCTACCTGGTGGACCTGCGCCACACCTCAGCCTACGGCACCGTCTACGCCATCGCCGACGTGGCCTTCTGCACGGGCTTTGCCATCGGTAGGGGAGCTTTACTCACAGTGGAGGTGCACCTCCGTGGAGTTTTGTCACTTTTTTGGACCGAAATTTGCAGGTCCCTCCACGGGCGGGGCGATCGTGCGGGCCCTGGGCTTCCCCTGGCTGATGGTGATGGTGGGCGTGCTGAACGTGGCCTACGCCCCGCTCTGCTGGCTCCTGCGCAGCCCCCCGGCCACGGAGGAGAAGATGGTCAGTCAGGGGGGTTCTCCTGGGGTTCCACATCCCAGGGATCTGAGGGAATTGGGAATAAATTCGCCAGGGGTTGTGTGTTCCCTGTAGGCCTCTATGCTGCCCTCAAAAATGGACAAAAAAAACCTGAGATAAGAGCAGGGAGGTTTAGAGGGTCCTTCCCTGCACTCACAGCTTGTGTTCCCTGGGGAAAAGTCTGCTTTGGCTTTTTCCCAGCGTGGTAACGCTCCCGTTAACTGATCAAATTAATCATTACTTTTATTAAAACACGATTTCTGCTCTCTTCACCCAGGCCATCCTGAGCCAGGAGTGCGCCATGAAACCCAAAAGCTACAGCACGAAGGGAGCCCAGCGGGGATTGCCCCTCGCGGAGGAGAGCGACGGGGAGGCGGAAAACATGGAATAGCCAAGGAATGTGTGTCCTGCTTTGGAATTGTAATTATGGCGACAGAACACGGATGTGAGGGCAGCCAGCGCCGGCTTAGCCTGCCCCAGACCCGTCAGTCTCCAACCTCTGCTCCAGGATTTGGAGGCTCCATCCATTCCATGAAGCCGCTGTGGGACTCAACCATGGAGTCAGCTGGCACTAAAGATGTCACTCGATGTCTAAGGACGCTAAAAAACCTTCATTTGTTTGCGGTGTAGTCTGATGTATTGTGCTATGTCTGTGCTGCTCGTGTGTCCTTCCCAACATGCATTAAATTAATTTACTCGTTTGAAGAGCTCTAAAGGAACTGAGGTGGGAATAAGGTTTAGACTTAGCCAACAAAGCCAGGTAGATCACTGTATTTAATGTGGCTTTGTCAGCTGCAGATGGGACGTCTCGCAAGCTCTGAGGGAAGAGCTTAGCAGAGAAACTGCATTTTCTCCCACGGCTCCAGAGTGCATATTTAACCTACCCCAAACACATCGCTCGGGGCCCCTCAGCTCCTGTTTGAGCGAGGGGTTGTGTGATCAAGGGGTTGTGTGATCTCCGCCCTGAGGGGGCGCGGCCGCCATGACAGCGCGCCCCGCCCTCCTTCCCGCCCTTTTCCCCTCCCTCAGGGCCGCCGCTCTCGCGAGACTTCGCTCGCCTCGCCCCTTCCTGTAATGGCGGCGCCCTAGACCGCGCGGCCGGCGCTCCCATTACCGTCAGTCCGCGCTGTCACCGCCACCGCTGTCACCGCCACTGCCGTCTGTGTCACCGCCGCCACCTCTGCCACCGCCACCATGCATTCGGACGATGTGAGTCCGACCGTTCTTTCGGCCCCGTGTCAAGCGCCCGCCCCGCCGGCGGGCCCGGCCGTGTCCCCGCCGCACGTGGCCGCGGTCCCCTGTCTGTCCCCAGCGCGGCCGTGGCTCTGGGGACACAGGGGCACCGGGGGTGTGAGTGGGGACTTGGCAGCAGCACATGTGCTGTGCCTGCTCTTCTTGGGGCGCCGCTCTCTCCCTGCCGGGGGACACCAGAGAAGCCCGATGTTTGTGGGATCAGAGCCGCGCGGGGACAAGGTGAGGGGTGTCGCGGTGTGTCACCCGCTGTTTGTGCCCCCCGCAGGTTGTCTGGAGCATGCTGGGGAACAGGCAGTTCTGCTCCTACAAGATGACGTGAGTTTGGGGGACGGGGTGGGCTGAGCCCGGCGGGCTTTGGGGGGATCCAGCAGGGACAGGAACGGGAGGGACATGCTCGGGTACCCCCTAAAGTGTCCCCTCTGCGCCACCACGGCCACATGCGAGAGTCACAGAGGATGGGGTGAGCTGTGGGAGCAGTGGGGTCTTCCTGCCCTCCCCCATAAGTTCCCTTCCCTTTTTTTGCAGCACCAAAACGCAGAATTTCTGCAGGAACGAGTACAACCTGACGGGGCTGTGCAACCGCTCCTCCTGCCCGCTGGCCAACAGCCAGTACGCCACTGTCCGGGAGGAGAAAGGTGGGAGCAGGGATCCTGCATGGAGAGGGGATCAGGCCTTGGAAGGGGCCCCCAGGGGGGTTTGGAGCCCCCATCCCTGGAGGTGCCATGGGAATGCCTGGACGTGGCACTGGGGATCAGAGGTTGGATTTGATCTGGGGAGTCTTTTCCAGCCTGGATGGTTGTGGGTTGCAGTGGGCAGGGGAGGGTGGGTGGCAGTGCCTGGGGGCAGCCTGGCTCTGGGGAGGGGCTCAGGGGGTTTGTTGCCTGTTCCCAGGTCGCTGTTATCTCTACATGAAGACCATTGAGCGGGCGGCGTTTCCCCGGCGCCTCTGGGAGCGGGTGAGCTCGGGGACACGGCAGGGACAGCCACCCTGCTGTCCCCACAGAGGGCAGGGAGGCTGTTCCAGGGGAGGGACACGGTGGGCAGCAGCAGGAATTTCTCCGTGGAGAGGGTGCTCAGGCATGGAACTGCCCAGGGAGGTTTGGAATTCCCATCCTGGAGGTGGCACTGAGTGCTCGGGGCTGGGGACAAGGTGGGGATCCCCCTTGGAGGGCTTTTCCTAAATGATTCCGTGACATGGGGGCGATGCAGCCCCTCCCAGTCGTCCCTGTTTTGTCCTGCTCTGTCACCCAGCCCTTCCCCTGTCCCCGCAGGTGCTGCTGAGCAAGAACTACGAGAAGGCTCTGGAGGAGATCGACGAGAACCTCATCTACTGGCCCCGCTTCATCCGGCACAAGTGCAAGCAGAGGTTCACCAAGATCACGCAGTACCTGATCCGCATCCGCAAGCTGACCCTCAAGAGACAGTAAGGGACACGGGAGTGACCCTGGGAGTGACCTCTGGTGGCTTCTGCAGACACTGCCCCTCTCCTGAGCCGCTGGCTGCTGGGACACGGAGCTGGTCCCTGTTTTCCTGATCTGTTTAGATGGATCTGACATGGATGAGGTGCAGGAATTCAGCGTGTAAATGCCCTGAGGGAATGTCCTGAGCTGGAGGGACCCACAGGGATCACTGATCTCAGCTCAGTGATCATTGATCTCAACTCATTGGTCACTGATCCCACAGGGATCACTGATCCCAGATCATTGATCCCACAGGGATCACTGATCCCAACACAGTGATCACTGATCCCACAGGGATCATTGATCATTGATCCCAACTCCTGGCCCTGCACTGACACCCCAACAACCCCCCCTGTGCATCCCTGGGAGCAGTGTCCATCTTGGAGCTCTGGCAGCCTCAGAGCCGTGCCCAGCACCCTCTGGGGGAAGAATCCTCCCCTAAAATCCAATCTGACCCTTCCCTGCCACAGCTCCAGCCATTCCCTGTCACAGAGAGCCGGGATCAGAGCCGTCCCTCAGGAGGAGCTGCTCCTCCTGTGGCCCCTCCAGACCCTTCCCCATCCTTTGGACACTCTCTACCAGCTTTAGATCTTTCTTATCCTGAGGCACCCACACCTCAGGAGGTTCCCCACGTTTGGAATGCTGCAGCTGCTGGCTGTTGCTGCCTGCCAGGGGCTGTGACATTCGCAGTGCCTGTTCCCTGCAGGAGGAAGCTCGTCCCGCTGCGCAGGAAGATCGAGAGGCGCGAGAACAGGCGGGAGGTAACGAGTGCCCCGTGTCACCTCGTGCCACTGCTGCTGTCCCCGCGGCCCCTGGGCCTCACACAGCTGCTCTGTGTTCCCTAGGAGAAAGCCCTGATTGCTGCCCAGCTGGACAACGCCATCGAGAAGGAGCTGCTGGAAAGGCTGAAGCAGGACACGGTGAGGGTCACACGGAGCTCACAGCGTCATTTGCCCTGGGGGAATGGGGGTGCCTGGCTCCCCAAAACACAGGGAGCCCCTAAAGAAAGGGCTCCCCTCCTGCTCTGTGCACAGGGAGCCCCAAAACATGAGGGCTGCCCTCCTGTTTGAGCCCCAAAACAAGAGGGCTCCTCTCCTGCAGGAGTGTGGGCTCAGAGGTGGGAAGGGGCTGATCCACACCTCAGGCTGATGCTGCCCCATGCAGTGCCCCCCCATCCCAAAGTCCATCTCCTTCCTGTGGCTTATGGAAAATCCCATTTTTCCTTTCAGTACGGAGACATTTACAACTTCCCCATCCACGCCTTTGACAAGGCTCTCCAGCAGCAAGATGCAGAGAGCGAGAGGGAGTCGGATGCAGAGAGGGAAGAAGAAGATGATGATGATGAGGTAAAGCTTCCAGCCCTGCCCTGGTGCTGAGTTGGGCTGAGAAGAACTCGGGACAGCTCAGAAAAACCTTGTGGTGGCCTTGGTGGCTCTTCATGCCACTGCTGTGCTCAGTCCCTGCCTCTGTTCCTTGCAGGACGTGGATAAAAGGGAGTTTGTGGAAGCAGAGGACAGCGAGCTCAGCGACTTTGAGGTGGGTGAAGCACCAGGTACAAACTGAGGCCGAGCTGCACGGGCACCTCCACCCTTGGGTGTCTCTGGGGATGGGTAAGAGGCAGCAAAATCAGCTGTGCGAGAGAATTGGACAGTGGGAGCCCAGCCCAGCTCCTCTGGAGCCACGGATTGTGCAGTGGGATCGTAATGAGGTGATTTTGGGGAAAGAAGAGGTTTAGTTGCACAACCTGCTCTGATATCACTCTGCTCACTCAATTCTTCCTCAGGACATGGATAAGTTGGAGACAAGCAGTGAAGAGGAGCAGGAAAAGGAGGAAGAAGTAGAGCAGAAAGCCTCCCACTCCAAATCTAAAGGGAAAACGCCCCTGAAGGGCCCAGCCAGGAGAAAACGTCCCTACATCGAGATAGAGTACGAAGAGGAAACAGAGCCCAGCACCAAGACAAAAGCAGCCTGAGCCCTCCTGACCCTTTTGTACTGACTGACAGAACTCCAGATGTGTCACCAGAGTGGGACTCCAGCATCTGTCACCCACCTCCCACCCCTCACAGGACTCTCAGAACTCCTGGTTTGATACTCCACACATTTTCTGGGGTTTGTGTCCCGAGCCCAGGCAATTGCAGTGAGTTTGTACATCTGGGTGAAGCCCAGCTCAAAGGAACATCTCCCACCTCCTCTGCAACCTCAAAAAGCTGAGCCCAGCCTCTGCTCCAGAAAGGGCCCTGGCCTGGGGGGCTCTGCTGCTCCCTGTAAGGCTGGAGAAACCTCAGCTGTGTCTGGGGGAGGTGTAGGGCTCGCAGGTGGGACAAGAACGACAGAACTTTCAATAAATACAACACTTTTATTGTACAAAAGGGGGTGAGCAGTGTCAGGTGCTCTCCTGCACCTTCCTGAGGCACTCCCGCACCCGGTTCTCCTCACAGCTGCTGTGCACCCCTGCCAGCAGCACCTGCAGGGGCAGAGCAGCATTGCCAGTGCCCTGGCACTCTGATGGTGTCACCCACCCTCCCCAGCCCTGGGGGGAGCGCAGCACACACTGAGCCCATCAACAGCTACCGAGCCACTTTCAATGCTGCTGGGGAGGGGGAACCCAAACTCCTGCTGGGCTGAGAGGGAAGAGGGCCCTGAGACCCCCAGGGAGCCCTGAGACCCCTAGGGAGCC